ACACACACACACACACAAATATAGCCTGCTGAGTCTGTTTGGTGTTGATTGCATGCATATGACTTCAGGACTGACCACTTGGTACTGGATAACCAGTTAAGGAGCGCTTCTCTGGGGAAGACTGATTCTCCCTCTCTCAGCATCCCTCAGTTGCCTGTAGTTCTCTGTCTAGGGATGGGGCCCTCTGAGATTTCCCCTTCCGTGTCCGCAGATCTATTGATGTTGTCCTTGTTTAGGTCTTCTTTAGGCAGCTAAATTGTTGAACAGTTTGCACTCTTTTTCTGTTTTGTTTTGTTTTCAAGACAGGCTTTGTAGCCCTGGCTGTCCTGGAACTCACTCTGCAGACCAGGCTGGCCTCGAACTCACAGAGATCTGCCTGCCTCTGCCTCCCAAATGCCGGGATTAAAGGCATGTGCCACTTGACCAGCAAGTTTGCACTCTTAACCAAAGAGCCAGTTCTCCGTCTTCCTCCCTCCCTCCCTCCCTCCCTCCCTCTCATCTTGTACATTTGTGTGGATGCACATCTGTGTGGATGAATGCAGGTGCATGTGTACCTGTGCGTGCATATGTGTGGAGGCCAGAGGTCAACGTCGGATGTCTTCATTGTTTTCCACCTTACTATCTAGGGGGCCCTGTTTTTCTTCCTGCCAGTACTGGTAACTGAACCTACGGCATCCTGTGTGTGAGATAAGCACTCTACTGCTGGTTTACAGCTCCAGCCCTCACCATACTTTTTGAGATGGTGTCACTCACTAAACTTGGAGCTCATCAATTTGGCTAGGATGGCTGGCCCATGAGCTCCAGGGATCTACCTGTCTCCATAGTGCTGAGGTTACAGAAGCATGGGTCACACTTTTCCATGGGCATGGGAATCTTAACTCAGGCCCTCATGCATGCATAACCAGAACTTTCCCTGCTGAGCTATCTCTCAAGCCCTCCCGTTTTGCTTCATACCACACTGTTCATTGTCACAGGCCCCTAGAGGAGGGATTTCCTAGGGATCTTACCACAAGGAGAATCAAAACCTCCACAGCACTTTAGGGTAGGTAGGGTAGGTAGGGTAGATTCAGCGTTCTCCTTGGATCCTATCATGTCCCTTAACTATTCTCCTGGATGTGTTTGGGAAGATGTGACGTGTTATTTAGGGCCTGGTTCAAGGCCTTTTCTGTCGTGTCTCTTCTATGGCCTTGGTATAACTCAGAGCCAAAAGTTGAAGGAGCTTGTCAGCTTTTCCTTTGTTGCTTGTCTTTTGTCTACCCTTGCTCTTCTCGGTCTTTATAGGGCCCTGGTTCTCAGCTGTTCTGAGGGGGCGGGGGCGAGCATCTCTTCCCGGAGTCCCATGCTAGTCACAGTCAATGTCACAGGACAGAGCCTGAAGCACAATGAGCTTTCTGTCTTCTGGACCCCTCCTCCCCACCAGGTTCTTCGTCACGGCTGTTCTTTCCCGGTCTGCATCGGTTTGTGGGAAGGGTTCTTGGCTACCTCTGTCCCTGTTTCCTCCACAGCCTTTCCAGAATTAGAAACAACCTGTTGTTGGGAGGATGTGAGGGAAGGGCAGGGTTAAGAGACACAAAGTTTGAGACTAAATAGAGGCCAGATTCTGGAACCATGCTCCTGATTCCAGGGAGGGCAGGGAAGTACCAAACAGCCCCTCTTGGTCAGCTTTGCCATGCTGTGCCTACCCGCTCTCTGCCAGCCCACTCTGAGGTGCTGTGTCCAAGCCTGGAAACCTGTGGTCTGTCCTCACAGCAGCTCAGCCCCAGAGAAAAAGCCCCTGACACTTTGGTTAAGAGGCCTCATTTGGGATGTCAAGGACAGCCGGGAAGGTGGGAGACCGGTTTGGTGATTTTGCCACAGAAGCTCCGGAAGGCTCCACAATGCTGGAGGCACAGGAGCATCCGCAGCACTGGAACAGGCCTGCAAGTTCCTCATGAAGAGTTTAGAACAGAAAAAAGCTGGAGTTAGCACTTCCCATGAGACGCTGCTTTCCTTTTACAGTGGAGTGAGATTCATATGACATACATACTTTTTTTTTTTTTTTTTTTTTGAAACCAAGTCTCGCTTTGTAGCATTGTAGACTAGCTTAGGCTGTCCTGGAATTTACTATGTAGCCCAGGCTGGTCTCAAATTCAGTCAATCCTCCTGCCTCATCCTCTTAAGTGTTGGGATCACAGCCATAAGCCACAGTGCCAGCTCAGTTTGTCTTTTTGTTTTGCTTTGTTTTTAGACAGGGTCTCATGTGGTAAACACTGGCCCTAAACTCACTATAGAGTAACGAGGCAGTGGTGGCACATGCCTTTCATCCCAGAACTCAGGAGGCAGGGTTGGACAGATCTCTGAGTTTGCGGCCAGCTTGGTCTACAGAGCGAATTCCAGGACAGCCAGAGCTACACAGAGAAACCCTGTCTCAAAAAGCCAAAACAAACAAACAAACAAAATCCCTATATATCAGACCAGGGCTTTGAACTTCTGACCCTTCTGCTGCTGGCTCCCCAGTGCTAGGATTTCAGGCATCTACCACCAAATCTGGTTTATAGAATGCTGGAGATCAAACCCAGAGCTTGGTGCGTTATAGGCAAGCACATGCCCAGCCACGACTTGCAATTTAATTTTTTTCCTTAACACTTCAGTCTTTTAAAAAAGCAACTTTTTCCAAAAAGGCCAGGCCAGCATCCTAACCCCCAGACTGGTGCCTAGCTCAGCTGTCACCAGAGAGCCTTCATCCAGCAACTGAGGGAAACACAGTCAAACGTTAGGCTGAGTTCCAGGAATCCTGTTGAAGAGAGGGAGGAAGGATTGACTGTACAAGCCAGAGGGGTCAAAGGCCACCACGAGAAAACCTACAGAAACAGCTATCCTGGGCTCACAGGAGCTCACAGCAACTGAACTGACCACCAGGAAGGCTGCACGGGACGGACCCAGGCCCTCTGCATATGTGTATCAATTGTGTGGCTTGGTCTTCTTGTGGGACTCCTAACAGTGGGAGCAGGGGCTGTCTCTGACTCTTTTGCTAGCTTTTGGGACCCTGGTCCTCACACTTGGTCGCCTTGCTCAGCCTTAATCCAAGGGGAGATGCTTAGTCTGACTGCAACTGGATACGCCATGTTTGGTTGATACCCATGGGAAGCCTGCCCTTTTCTGAATAGAAACAGAGGAGGAGTGGATTGAGAGGGATGGGCAAGTGGGGGGGGGGGCGGGGATACCAGGAGGAGAGGAAGGAGGGGAAATTGAGGTCAGGATGTAAAATAAGTAAGTCATGTTTTAAATGACTTTTTCTTTAAATTATTTTTTATTTTGTGTGTAAAGATGCTGCTTCGCTTGCATGTGTGACTACGCACCACACGCTTGATTGGTTCCCTAGGAGTCCAGAACAGGGCATCAGATCCCCTGGAGCTGGAGTTATAGGCTGTAGTGAGCCGCCATGTGGGTGCTGAGAACTCAATCTGGGTCCTCTGGAGGAGCACCCAGCACTTTTGACTACTGAGCTAGCTCTCCCAGCCCACATTTTAGCCTTTGATAAGCATAAACACAGCACTGCTTAATCTCTTTCTCCCTGAGTTACAAATCTTTTGACTTTCTGATCATACCTTTTGCACAGTCCTTAAAACCAAGCTCCTTTTAAACCTTGAAGTTGGCCTGAGGCTGGCCAGGGCCAGTGAGATTAAGGAAGGACTGCTCTTTGGCTGGTCTTTCATTTCTCCCAGTTCTGCAGGAAAAGCGGCCTCATCCTCATCATGGCTCTCCTTCCAATTCTCCGTCTTCCCGCAGGGCTGGCGGCAGGCATCTGAGGGAAGCTGGACAACCCCGTTTGTTTTCCTTGCAGCAGCTTGCTCACCAGCTCGCTCCTCAACTCACCTTGACGTTCTTCAGGGCTTTCCATGTCGTTTGCCTGTATTTGATTCTTGTAGAAAAGGGAAGGTCTCTGCTGGAGTACTGCTCTGGAAGCTGGCTCAAATCTCCGCCTTTTCCTCTTCTGCCTCTTGCTGGTTCAAAACTTGGTCTGGCTGGTGTTGTCGTTTTTTTTTTATTTCAGGCTGGGACCCATTCCAGCAACTTTAGAGGCCCATCCATCCACACACCGTTGGTTGACACTTTTAGCTCACGGAAACGTCTGCAGCATTTTAGCATTTAAAAAATCTCCACTCCCCGGTGTACGGAGGTCAGGGGACAACTTGCAGGAGTTGGTTCTCTCCACGATGTGACTCCCAGGGATGGAACTCTGATCATTAGGTTTGGCATCAAGTGCCTTGATCCGCTGAGCCATCTCGCCAGACCTCAGTTTATCATTTTTAAGTGCACAACTCGGTGACATGTGATGTATTCAGAATGCCGCCTACTCCTTCTGAAAACAATCAGAACTTTGGAGTGATTGATGTTTTTAATTTCGGGTGAGATACACTCACCATGGTGGCATCCTGGCCTGCTCACGAACATCTCGAGCACTTAGCACTCACAGATGCCTGTCGCATGACGGAATGTCGCCTCCCTGGCTAACTCCTGTTGCAACCTCAGATCCAAGAGACACCGTTCAATTCACCAGGCTGGGGAGTCATCGGAAGTCGGACGCTGGTGGCCCGGTAGGAGGCGCCCCAAGGGCCCCCGTTACCGCTTTCGGTTTGCCCGGGTCGGGCACCTCTCTGAGAAGGCTCGCCCCCCGCCCCTTTGGCCCGCGGGCCCGCCCCGCCCCGCGGCTTCCTCCAGGGCGGCGGGCACAGAGGCTGCGCCGGGCAGAGGAGCCAGAGCCGGCGAGCAGACGGTGGCGGTGGCGGCTGCGGAGGCGATGGTGAGACGGGCAGGGGCAGAGGGCGATTGTTCAGGGGCGTGAGGTAGGAGCCCGAACCCCAGGGTGAGAGACACGCTGGTCGCATGGGCCAGACCCCAACTTTGCAGGCAGCCGGGGAAGGAGACACAGAGTGCGCCCCGTCGGGGCGGAGTGAGCGGAGCTGCGGCTTCCCACGCTCCTGCGGCAGTTACTAGCTCCCGGCAATACCCGGCAAAGTCACTTAACCTCCATGAGCCTTCTTTTCCGTACCATAAAGTAGGAGCAGCAAGACCTACCTTAGTGGGTCCTTGAGAGGTTAAAGGAGATGTTTATAGTTGCTGCTGCCAGGCACTCAGAACCCTTTGCTAAGAAAGTGGTAGGTAATGTGATGACCTCTGCAGCTCTTCCCGGGGCTGACAGGAGCCAGAGCTGGCCCAAGGGTGGAAACCTGAGTAAATGCTCTAGGCCGGGTGCTGAAGGATAAACACTTTCCCCGGGGGAAGAGAAAGTAAGTTGTTTACTATAAAAAAAAAAAAAGTTCCATGAAATTATCAGTGTGACACAGGCTGACTCTTTCCTAACCTCTACCTAGTGACATAACCCTGAGTTGACTCACCCAAACTCCCGCTGCCGGGAGACCTGCCATTTCCAAGGCAAAGGTGTCAGGGACCTCTGGTGCCAGGATCCCCCTCCCCTGGGGCTCCTGGGAAGATGGGCCAGGCTGGAAGCAAGTTTAGTACTCTGAGGCTGGATGCATGCGGGCTGGCTAGAGATGGCAGTGCCTGGATGGCTTCGTCTCTGGGGAACTGGAGGCAGGAAAGGGAAGTGGGGCAGGAAGGTAGCCCTAAGCTTTGAGGCCACACCAGGAAACTGAGGGAGGCTCTGAGAATGGGCTGGAGCTGAGAGCCCACTTCCGAGAGTGCAGGGTAAGAGATGGGGAGGAGGGTGGGCGTCCAGCTGGCCCTCAGCTCCTGGGGAGAAGAAGTTCGGAGATGAAGGTGAGCTAGGTTTGTTCTCTGGCTGTACCGGAGAACCTTGGGATGCTCACAGGTGCATTCCGGGCAAAGGGGGTTCAGAGCCTGCGGGGGGTACATTGTTCCTCCAGCCTGCCTCCAGCTCCATCAGCTAACTCTCCCTCTCTTCTGGTTCCTTTTTCTGTCTCCAGCTCACACTACCTAATTACCCCCCACCCCTTTCCCTTTCCTTCCGGTCTCTTCTCTGTGACTCATTGGGTCAAAAAAGACAGCAGCTCTTTTGTGCCACCAGCGTAGGACAAAGCAGTGGCAGGGAAGAGGGGAAGTGAGCAATCATTTTTTTGCACTCGTCCACGTGTGTGGTGATATTCTGTGTATGATCTAACAAATAAAGCTTGCCTGAAAGAACAGAGAGAGAAAGGAACAAGCCACAGCCGCCTCTCACCTCGCCAACCCCTCAGTGGACATGCTTGTTCACATGTGTGGGCACGTATGTGTTTAGGTGCACATGGAAGTCAGAGGTGGATGTCAGGTGTCTCATTCAATAGCTCTCTGCTTTATTTATGGAGGCAGGGTCTCTGGCTGGACCTGGAGCTCACCAGCTTGTCCTTGGGATCCCCTGTTTCTGTATCGTGAGCACTGGGATTGCAAACGGAACTGCTTGGCTTTCGTGTGGGTGCTCGGGATTCAAACTCTGGTTCTCAGACTAGGGCAGGAGGCGTTCTATTTAGGAAGCCATCTCCCTAGCATCATAAATGACTTTTAAAAAGATTTCATTGTGTGAATGTTTTGCCTACATGTATGAATGTGTGGCATGTATGTGAGTGCCTGTGGAGTCTGGAGGAAGGTGTTAGATCACCTCATGTTGGAATTATAGATGGCTGTGAGCTGCCAAGTGGTGCTGGGAATGGAATCCAGGTCCTCTGGAAAAGCAGCATGTGCTCTTAACCACTGAGCCATCTCTCCAACCTCACTATAAATAATTTTAAAAAGGTACTTAGCTTGCTTGTTTTGGGGGGGACAAGGTCTCATGAGGATCATGTTGGTGTGGAACCCACTATAAAGCTGAGCCTCCGTGCCTGACTAGGATGAACTATTTTTTGAGGCAGTCTTGCTGTATTGCCCTTAAACTACCTAAGACAAGGCTGGCC